ATAGCTTTTAAGTAAATGATACTTAAAAAAAAAAGGAGATATCACTCCTTTTGATTCAAAAGAGAGAGGAGCAGTGTTTCCTTAGTCCTTGAGAATCAGGTTATTAGCACATCTAAAGCCCAGGCAGAACCAGTGATTCGGAATGGAAGGAGGGTGAAGTACTCAGGGAGAGTATCAGGGTTACCTGTGGATACTGAGGCTGAGGGCCTGCTCTTCTCACCGAAGCAACCGAAACATTAGTTCTCAAGCATCTGTGACAACTTAATACTGTACATATAAACCACGGGCATGCAAAAGGGATACATTTTTTTTTTGCTAACAAACATAAGCTGTGACCTTTGGTTGGCATCCATGTTCAGGAAGAGGACGGAAACTAGATTAAAACTGTCCTAAATATCTTCCTTTTTTAGTTTTAATAAATTATTATGTTCAGTTTGTCATTAGGAGAACATACATGTACAAGCTTTAAATGGTTGCCTCCTAGTCATATTAATTAATTGCTTAATTGGGCTCTTGATTGAATCCTTTTCTATGCATAGCATTATGATTTACCAAGAAATATGAAATTTTAAGGCTTCATAAATCTAGTTTCTCTCAAAAGATTGACTGTTTTTCTCAGTCTTTCCCAAGTTTTCCTCTATTTCTTACCTCCCCTAAATATTTAACATCTAAGTATTTCTTATCTACTACAAGGGATGATTGAAAGATATCATAAATGTTTTAATTATAAAATAATTTTATTACAGTAAAAGTCACATTGCCAACAATGGAATAAGTGGATTCCAAGTGAGGAGGACTAATGGCAATGTGTCTTTTTCTATATTAAAAATTATAATGTAGGACTGGGGATTTAGCTCAGTGGTTCCGCTGCCTGCTTCGCAAGAGCAAGGACCCGAGTTTAACCCCCGGTACCAAAAAAAAAAATTATAGTGTAAACACTGACTGTATTTTATGACCACGCTTCTTGATCAATAGTTTATGGCAATTTTTATCAAATAAAAACATTATGGTGTGTCTTCATCCAGCTTATTCAATTGATCTGGCACCATGTGACTTTTGGCTTTTTTCCAAAATCAAAATGAACACAAAAGGTGAACATATTGAGTCAATTCAGGTATAGAGTCATACATGACAGTGCAACTAAAGACACTCATGAAGGAGGACTTTCAGAACTCTTTCAGAAAGTGGCCGGAATGATGGGATAAGTGTTCAAAGCAAGGAGGAGTATTTTGAGGGGGATTAATGGCTATCTGTCTATTATAATAACAATTTAAAAAAATTAAACATCAACAATATTTTATCATACCTTATATAGTAATTATTTCATTTATACTATATTTTTCTATACACTCAATAATTCATATATAATATGTATGTATATATCTAGTATTGAACTCTAGACTCATCCCTAGTTGCTACCTCTCTCTCCAATTGGGTATCTAATAGATATTTTAAACATAATATTTTCAAATCAAAACACGTAAGTTTTCTCTAAAACCTCCTCTTCTCTGTTATTCCAGTCATACAAATTATTTCGTGCAATAAACATTATTGGGTATATCTGAAATGCCAGATAATTGCTTAAAAACATCAGTAAACACAAAGGAGGAGAGGAGGAAGAAAATAAGCAGTAAATGAAACGATGAAGGAAATTACCTAGTGTGTCAGAGGGTAATGAGTGCTTTGTAAGAAAGAAAAAGAAAGTAATGTCAGAGGTAAATTGAGGCCAGAAGCATTAAGTAAGGTGGTGGAGGATGCTACAAAGGTGACATTTAAGCAAAGACTTGACATTGGTGAAGGAATTCAGCATGCAGATAGCTGAAGGAAGAAAGTTCCAGTTAGAGGAACTAACCAGTGCAAAGGGTGGAAGGTAGGGGCCTGCTGGACACACTCAGGAAAGAGTTGGGGTAAGGATAGTGGAGCAGGGGGAGGAGAGATAAAAATAGGAGGTAACATCAGAGAGGGAGAAAGGCCAAGTTGCTGTAGATCATTGCAAGAACTTTGTCTTTTATTGGCGAGAAATGGAGAGCTATTTGAGAGTGACACGATCTTACTCATGTTCTTGGGGATCACTTGACCTTTGATCCAAAGTAAGTTTTAAGAAGGCAAGGTTGAGAGTAATGGCACTAGTTAGGAGGGTAGGGAATAATGATTATATATTCCAGGATACTAGTGGAAGAATGAATGCATTTTCAGAGTACAGTCTATGATATTTTCAGATAAAAAACATGTAGGAATTGAACAGCAGGAAAAGAATTCAAGGAGGAGGTCATCAATATCCGGCAACTAAACAACTGGAATTATGAAGTTGGCATTTACTGAGCAGTGAGGATTGTTGATGAAAATATTCTAAGTGAAATGGTAATTTTTTCACAAGCTCAATACTGTCCAAATTTAGAAACAGAATAGTTCTAGCTCCCCCAAAGACTTCCTTGTTTACATCCTAGCACTGTGCACCCAAAGTAAACCAGTATACTGACTTCTGATTTCATAGATTTCTTTCTAGTTTTTTAACTTTACATAAATGAAACAATTAACATGTACACTTTTGCATCTGGCTTCTTTCTCTGATATGATGTTTGTGAAATTTATCCATGCTATTGTATTCAGAAGAGTTCATTTATTCTTATTTCTGTACAGTATTTAACTGTATATTATAACATCCCAAGGCTATATTTTCATTTTCTTAGTAAGGCCATATAACAATTAATTTTTTAATGTAGCAAAATTAATTTTTTTCACTGTGTAATTCCTTAATTTCTGCATATTAGTGCTTTACCAGCATTATAACCATAAGAACACAATCCCAAGTAACGTACTTTTTAGTTTGAGGCAATCACAGTTTACGGACTTACTTGTATTAGATAAGATTAACCTGTTCAAAACTTAATGGATTTTAAAAAATTAACATAAAAACAGGAATTGATACAATTAAACAAAAACTTCAAGATCTTATTTTAAAAATTCTTAGATTATAATATTTTTTTCAGGCTATAATTACCTGCTCTATAACCCCCAATTTTTATGGTTCAATTTGACTACATCATTTATAAACCTTTTATACCTTTAAGAAAATATAAATGAAAATAACAATTTCTTTCCAAAGGTTTGGAGTTTTCCAAATTTCAAATACCCCTCTCATTTAATAATCTTAGCTTATCTGATATGTGATTTTGGTATCCTGTTTAAGAAAAGTTGTCTATGTCAGAGTTACAAAGATAATCTATATTTACATCGAGAAACTGTGTAACTGTGTCTTTCAAATTTAGATCTATAATGCACCTGGAATTCACCTAAGTATATGGAGTGAGATAGAGGGCAAAATTCAGTTTGGTTTTATTCAGTTAGTTGTAGTGCTGTTGAAAAGAACATCTTTTTCAACTGCAGTGCAATATCTTTCATTTTGCAGTTGGATATATGGGATGTGTCTGTGGATTTTCAGTTCAGTTTTTACTGTTGCCTATCTTTGGATAGACTTGTAAAGCTTTTTACTATAGCTTTTTATTAAGTTTTGGTATTTGATTGTGTGAGTCTTCCAACTTAGTTCATTTTTGTTTAAGTTTGTTTTGCCTATTTTTAGATGTTTGCATTTCTCTATAAATTTTATAAATAACTTGTCAACATAAATTTGAAAATATCATTTTGATTGTGATTTCTTTAAATCTAGAGAGGTCAATAAGAGGAGCTATTGGCATCTTGACAGTAAATCTTCCATGCTAGTGTTCCATGTTAGTTCTCCACTCTATGAGCATATTATATTTCTTCATTTTCTTTAGGTTTCCTTCAGTTTGGCACAGTCTGTTTTGTAGTTTTCTAGGCAGATGTCTTACATTTCTTGGTTTGATTTATTCCAAATATTTTATGTTTACTAGTGCTATTGTAAATAGTGTCTTTTTGAAAATCTGTTGTTTTTAAATCTGTTGCATTTATATAGAAAATGAATTGACAATTTTTTATGTGTATCATTCATGTATCCAGCAATGTAGATGAGTTCACTTTTTAACTCAAGTAGTTCAGCTTTAGATTTATGTGCTCATTCCACATACACAATCATGTATCTATGAGTAATGAACTTTAGAATTTTTCCTTTTTTATCTTTATGTATTTTATTTCCCTTTCTCCATTTACTTCCCTGGAGAGTATCTTTGTTATTTTATGATACTGCATAAAACTGGGATGCTTAATTCATGTCTCATCTTACATACGAGGCTTACTATATTTCACCACTGTAATGTTTTCTACAAAGTTTTGTGGCCATTTTTCATCAAATTCAGAAAATTTCCTTTTCTTATTTATTTTAAATTATAATTCATTTAAAAATACTTTCCTCCCATTTTTGGAATGATCAAAATGTTTTCTTTAGTTTCTTCATATAGAGAATTGCATTGATCGATTTTTTGTTTTTCTTTTGTTTTTTGAAACAGAGACTCGCTGTGTAGTCCAGGCTGGCCTTGAATTCACTATGCAGCCAAGGCTGGCTTCGAATATGTGGCAATCCTCCTGCCTCAGCCTCCCTAGTGCTGGGATTATAGGCACATACCCCCCCCCCAGCTGCATTGATCAATTTTTAATAGTTACACCAATCTTGCAATCTTGGAACAAATCCAACATGATTCAGATATATTACTTCTTGTACCATGCTGGGGCCAGTTTAATAATATTATATTTGAAAGCTTTATGTATATGATTTGGAAAGATGTTGCCTGTCATTTTCCTCTCTTATAATGTTCAAATCACATTGTCCATGGTTCAGCTGTGAGTGCCAGACTAGGTGCTGGCACTGCCAAGGCCAGGTGATTGTACTATGCCATCTCCTGCCCGTCAGTGGCTGGCTTTTTCTTAGTCCTTCTTTTTGTGAAGTGTTAACAATATTAGACCACAGTGCAGTAATCTAAGATACACAGCTTTTACAATTACGATGACTTTCTGGATCAGGAGGTTGTAAGAGAATGTTGCCTGCAGTTGAAGAGTGTTGATGTTAACTACTCATTTCATTGTAGGATGTTATGTCAACTGCTGATGGACCAGTGGCAGGATCGTATCACTTAAGACTCTAGGAAGGATACATCAGCTCAAAGGTAATTGCCAGAAACAAGAGGGCCATCCATTCTTCTTTTAGAACCTGAAGCACAGGCCTGTGTTGTCATCCAAAGATATAAAAACATGTCCCCAGATTCATCTGGACCTTTCTAGAAACCTGGGTGGTTTTCTCTTTAGCCTGCTACTTAACTATTCTGCTTGACCTTTAGAATTTATATAGGCACTGTGAGAAGTTCTTGCTAAACCATCAATTCCCCTCTGGGTTATGAATTTAAATTTAAATGGGCTGAAAGCAAAAACTGTGCTTTATTTTTGGTACTGGGGATCGAAAACTGTGCTTTCTTAAGAAGTAGTGACAGAGGGACACAGATTCTATTGGGAACAATAGGAATAAGATGTTGATGCCTTAAAATAAGTAGGCTCAATAGAATTAGAGTTTTTGCAAAACAGCCTGGAATGTTTCTAAAGAAAATAAACTTAAGAAATGTGTAAAAAAGATCATCTGATACAGTGCTAAACACATGAAAAATATGCACTGGGGGAAAAGCCTATGTAAGCAATGTAGGAAAGCATTCATCATACACAGGTATTATTAAATGCATGAAATAAATCACATGGGGGAAAAACCCTACATATGTATATATATAAACCATATGTATATATGTTAAAAATTCAGTGAAAATTACTCATGTAATGGAGACTGTAGAAATAATATGAAAATTTTGATGTCAATATTTCTTCATTAATTTTCTAGAAAATATACTCTCAGATGGAAATATCCTAAAGCATATTTATTCTGTGTTTTTCAGTAAATTACTTGTAAATATCTGATGTATGTGTCTGTGGTCTTTAGTATGAAAAATTTGAGTTAACATAATTATATATTTTTATGCATACCAATGTTTCCGAACTTAACATATAGTCTCTCCTAATTAAACAAGGTGAATCAAAGTGTATTTTTCTCTTGGAAGTAGGGTTAGTATTTATGCAGTATTTATTTTGTTTTGTTTTTACAATTGGGATGACTAGACCATGAAAAAATAAATTTAACTGTTGGGATTTCCCACTAGGCTTGATTTGAATTTTGTTGGTGTATATACTCCATATTCTGTGTAACAATATATTTTTGTATTTGGTGTTATTTTATATTTGATGGAGAGAGAGAGGCTTGTGAATATGTTTTTGAGAAAGGTTAATTGTTTTCACACAACATGTATATTAGCAATATTGTGTTTTTCATATCCTAACAAAACACCTGCATATATCCCAACATAATTGTATATCATTTTAAGTACATAATTTTGCCTAGTTGCTTTCATGTTGGAGCCAATATTATGTCTTACATAAAATATTGTTTTCTTTCCATGAACATTTTACTTTTCATGCTTATGTTATGAAGACTTAATTTTGTGATAATTTTTCTAACACCTGTATCTAAAAATAAACTACACTGCCATGCGTTTCTGATTGCCACAGGTCAGGAAGAACATAACTTGTCTGGAAATGGATATCATTAATTGTAGTAATAAATCTCTCCAAGAGGTATAAATGGTGGAAGGATTTATCAGTAACAACATTATCAAAGGGATTTTTGTTCACAGTGAAGTTGTTTTGGAAACAATAATTATTGGCTGTGATGAGGCAAATGCCTTTATTCTATTCCTTGATTCTGGGATTCAGATTTTCTTTGGTAATCAATATTGCTTTAACTAAGAAGATGAAATAAGGCGATGAAGGAAAAGAAACTATCAGCTTAATGAAAAGAGGAAATTTACTAAAAAAAAAAAAAAGAAAACAAACTGAACATTGTGTAGTGAAATAGCCACAGGGTTTTTTTTTCATACTATTTCAAAGTCATACTAACCTCAAATCATACCTACTATTAATATAAATACTTGTTGCTTTACCCTTTATCAGTTGGCAGGTCTGGACATGGATACTTAATTGAACTGTTTGACTAAGTTAATTCCTGGGAGAAACTCCTATTTTGTGTATGGGTAAATACACACCTATGATAGCATAGCCTGATTGGCAAATTTTAGTTTTTTTCTTTTTTGAGTATGAGCTCTCATCACACAAAATCTAACCAGTGTCACTCAAAGGAGTCTTTCAGTATGGCATATGGGTAGCTCCTTTAGGGAGGTAAAACAACCCTAGAATCCTCTTTGGGCAAAGGAAAAAGGGCTCAGTGTAGAGTGTGACATCTGCTCCTACCCCAGCCCCAAGGTCAGTTCTTTGACTTCAGTTGTTGGTTACCTTCCTTACACTGGAAGCGTTGGTCATGGTGCCCTCCAGTTTGGGTTTCCATTCTAAGGCCCTGCCACGGGTAGTCCCTGTTGAAGACGGAGCCAGGGCAGACTTATTCTCTGCCAGGGGCGACCACTGCACAGTTACTATGTCCTAGAAGATGGAAAAAAAATGAGGCACACCCGTCCCAGTGGCAGCCAATCTACAGCATGGCAAGTGGCATATAAAATGACCTCGGGCAGAGACCTCATTCTATAAAAGAAAGAGCATGTTTCATTGGAGCCCCACTCTCAGGATCAGACATGAGAAGAATAAACATAATCCAGCAGGGTGCAGTTGCAAGTAGTCATGAGAGTGAGAGGTCGTTTTACAGAAACTGAGGCTGAAGAGGTTATAACCATTGCCTAAACCAGCTAACCTGAATTCTGCTTTACCCTACACCTTGCAGCTAGTGGAAATTTATAGAGCAGGGAGTAAGGAAGCCATGGGATAGTGGGAAGATTCTGGAAGTCAACATCAGAGAAGCACTGAGAAAGTAAAAAAAATAAGCAGCTGGCCATGTTAGTGCTGCATGGTACCCCAGAATGAGAGTGTCCATACTCTCACTAGAATCAAAATCTCCCTATGTCAAGATTGTCTCTAGGATCCCCAGCCACTGCAGGCTTCCTCCCTTCAGACCCCAGTGAATTCTCCATCTCTTTTATTGCCATTTAGCCCCTAACACTAACCCTTACTTGAGCTAACCCAAGGGCACTTGTTTTCTTTTTCAAAAATTTTTGTTTTGGTAACAAGTGCTCACCATTCCATAAACAAAGGCAGTATTTCAAAAGCAAAAACAAAACAAAACCACCACCAACAAAACCCTACAAACAGGAATGTAAGTATGGAGCCATAATTACTCCCTATACACACTACAATTACAAAAAAAATGATAGGATGGAAAATTCCCACAGCCCACTAGAGAATACCTTAGAACACAAAAAAGAATCCACAAGGCTAGAGTGCTATGAATAGCTTCAAAAGGCAGACAAAGAAAGTTTAGGTCATTGGGCTTCAGGCTCTATTAAGCTTCTTCCTATTCTAGCAGAAGACAGGAGAAAACATAAGCTGCTGGAGTTACTGTCAAAATTGTCTGTACCAACTCAAGGTAGGATGAGAATATAGGGCAAGAATGTAAATAAAAGGTGGCAAAGACAAGTAGTCTTGAAATTTAGGCTTTATACCCAACAACCTTTGTCTAATACCGACTTCACACAGTATTATTCTGGCCTTCACCTACCTCCTCTGAATTTAGAAACATCTGGACGAAGTACTGAAAATTGACACCTCAAATCTCATGCCTCCTTCGAACTTTCTTCAGAGGTTTTTCCTCGGGGGGAAAAGAGCTCACAGTGCAGAGGGAAGCATATATTCCAAGTGTAACCAAAGAGAGAAGGAAGCTTATCAACAAGGAAAGCCAACAAAAATCAGAACTTCCTAAGTCCAAAACACAATATTCAGCCAGGTGCTTGGAAAGCATTTCTGAAAGGAATTGCTGAAACTATTGCTAAGAAAGCAGCGATAGTTTTACATAAGAAGTCCATTGCTGACTTTCAGCTGGTTGTTGTGAAGTTATGAATACCAATGGTATACTATGGCTGGCAGATTTTCTGATCCATCAGTGCCATTGCTCAATCAACAGTCACATACTTTGAATATCACTGCTGGTTATGTCATGGTTTCTGTATCTATTATGCAAAATGAAAAGATATTCTTATTTAGGCAGACTTGTATATACAAGGAGAAATACATTGTTCCTAAACATTTGCTAAGTGTTTTACTAATGAATTCATAACAACATTCCAAGTTTCATTTCCTACAATGTTTTTAATTTGTTTTTTCTTTCTTAGCAGAGATGAAAAAGAAAAAGATAATTCCAGGACCTTTTGTCTATTACTCAAAGTTTGTTCCCACTTCTCCGCTTTATCTCCCCTTACTCTCCTGTGGTACAGCTGGACTGGGCTCTTCAGTAGCTCCTTAATCTGCTTGGCCTATTATGTACTTATGAGTTTACAAAATGTCACCCTTACTTCTGATTTTTTTGGTCAGTTTCTTCTGGAACACTTAGTTCTGGCCGCCATAACAAAATTCCATAGACTGCTATTAAATTGGATTAATCAATAAACGTGTTATTTATACTTCTGGAGGATGGGAAGTTCAAGGTCTGAGTGCACAGGTGTGATATTTGGTGAGTGCCTTCTTCCTGGTTTGCAAGTGGCTGCTTATTGCTAGATCTTTCCAAGACTATGAGGTCCTCTCTCTCATTTCTTCCTATAAGGGCACCAAACCCACCCATGAGGGCTCCATGACTTAATTACTTCCGAAGGACTCTAGTTTCAAATATCATCACATTGGTAATTAGGACTTCAACAGACGAATTTGGAGGAAGAACAAACATTTATTCCATATATCTGGTGACACTTAAATACAAAAACTTTTCTTGTCAGAGGCTAACAAAGGAAGACCAAAAGTTCCAGGCCGGGCTGGGATGTAGTGGTAGAGCACCTCTTGGTTCAGCCCCCGTCACCACACACACACACACACACACATACACACACACACACACACACACAAAGTTTTTCTTTAACTCATATTAGTTTTAAATAACTTTGTCAAAATATAGTTGAAAAGTAGAAAGTCATTTAACTCTGTGGACTATGCTTTGTTCCATCTATTCTGTGTTCATATTTATCTGGGGATGACCTCAGCTAACAAAGTAGATTTCCCTCTCCCAGAAGGATTATGGCCAGCA